GGGGGGGGGGGGGGGGGGGGGTGACAGCATGTCTCATGGGAAACCCTGCTCAGTGAGTTATAAGAACTCAAACATTCAATGAAAAGCGGCTACTTTCTGGGATGTTCTAATACCTTTTCTGAGTTAGGTCAAGTTGTAGTTGCTTTTTTGTGTGTCACACGCATGGCGTTTTAGCCCCCACATCAGCCCAAGTTGTAGTTTTTGAAAAACGTGTATTTGGACCCTCCAGGCAGGGTCCCAAAGACTATAGGGGCTTTGTAAGATGATCTACTGGAAAACAGGAAGAAAATTCAAAACTTCAATTTGAATCTATTTTTTCCTTACTCTGTAGAATTAATTTTCTTATGTATGTTGTATAACACACATAACATATTTGTACAGTGGTCCTAATATCTCTGTATATCCAAACAGGTACATATATATAATTTACAAATAAACATGTATATTTGGGGTTCATTCTCAATGTTTTGTAGCAGTGGGCTGTATAATCAAAATGTTCAGAGACCACTAAATTTGTTGGCAGAGGGTTAAATTGTTGTTAAGATTTCTTTGGTGTTTTTAAGAAATATATCAAGGTGTAATACATGCATCTGGTTAAAAAAGCAAATCCTGCATGAAAGTTTATAATAATAAGTAGTGGTCCTCCATTCCACCCCCTCCGTCCTCAGCCCTGTTTGAAAAGGCAGTCACTGGAAGAGTTTTTACCCTCAGTGTCTCCGGGGTACCTCCTCTAAGTAATACCCTCGTGCTGCTAATGTCTGTGACCAGCAGGCGGCGTTATCAGTTCAGTTCCTGTGATGTTAGGGGAAGACGGACTTATGCTAACCTCCTCCACTTCTCTCAGGAGAGGTGCATAATTCTTTCAGTTTCTTGGTTATGTTTAGTGTGTGTGTGTGTGTGTGTGTGTAAAAACAAAACATAAAATTTGCCATCTTGACCATTTTTGTGTGCAGTTCAGTTGGGTCAAGTATATTCATGTTGTTGTGAAACTGATCTCCAGAACTTTCCCATCGTGTAACTGAAACTCTATCCACGTTAACTGATCCGCCCCCGCCCCCAGCAGCCACCGCTGTACTTTCTGTCTCTGTGAGTTTGCTGCTGACACCTCCTCTGAATGGGAATCGCACAGCGTTTGTCCTTCTGTGACCAACTACCTCTATCATTTTAAATAATATGTTTAAATTTCTGTTTCTTCCATCAATTCCAGATAGTTACTCCCTCCCTCTGTTCCCTCGTCCTTTTTCTTCTCTCTACAGTTTTAGATTATTTATTCTATGAGGCCAAAGGGGAAAATAGGAAATCCGTAGGGTTAAAACCCCATAAAGCAGCATTCACTAACCTCATTGTACAAGTGGTGCCTTTCATGTCGAAATGAACAGTCAGGACAGGGTGTCGAATGCGGGGGGCAGAGGGAGCCTTGGGCACGAAGGGTGTGAGGGCCACTCCTCTCTGGCCTTTCCAGGGAGCACCATCATGTATGGGGCGCTGCTGCTGTTCGAGTCGGAGTTCGTGCACATCGTGGCCATCTCCTTCACATCATTGATCCTCACCGAGCTGCTGATGGTGGCACTGACCATCCAGACCTGGCACTGGCTCATGACGGTGGCTGAGTTGCTCAGCCTGGCCTGCTACATCGCCTCCCTGGTGTTCCTACATGAATTCATTGGTAAGACCCTGAGTGCGTAGAGCCCAGAGGTGTCACCCACGTGTGCGGGAAGGTGGCCTCCCCAGCACACGGCTAGGGCCTGGCTCTGTGCAGCAGTCCTTTGCACTTGCTGTCTACCTTTTCTTACAAGTGGCAATTGTGAATCAGCATGTGGAGTTGAGGAGTGAGGATACAGGGCACGATCTCCATGTAGAGGGTTTTCTTTTTTAAAATTACGCAGAGCTAACTGGCTTAGAAGAAGAATCCATTTGACTCAGTGAATCCACTTGATTAGTTATTGGGTTTCTCCAGTGAGCAGGCCACTGTGCTGAGCTCTAAGGAGCTATGGGGATGTCGGGTATCCAGGTCTTACTTTCGAGTAAATGATAGGCCAGGATGGGTCCTTAAACAATGCCCCAGAAACTACAAAAGAGAGGCAGTGGCTTCTTCAGAATCATGCCTGAGCTGATGATTTTTTAAGCTTTTTTTTTGGCCTCAAGCCCCTTTGTGCCCATTGACATCTTAATCAGAAGGCCAGTCTATAAAAGTGGTAGAAGTGACCTGGATATGGCCAAGTGGCGGGGCTGGGAGGCGCCAAGCCCTGGAGCTTTGCCCGTGGGACCGTTCCTTTGCTGCTTCGTCCTCATCTAGCTCCTATCAAACCAAGAAGTGACACGTGTCATCAGCAGTGGGCGTTGGTCCATTCAGTGAATATGTGGGAGCTCCTGCTGTGTGCCAGGGCTCTGATGGCAAACGAGTTGGGTGGGCTTACGTGGAGCTTCCCTTCTGATTGGGAAGACACACAGTGAGCAGGTCAGTGGATTTGTGAGAACAGGAATGTCAGATGCGATCAAAGCTGCAGAGAGAGAAAAACAGTGAGGTGATAGAGACTCGGGCAGACCCCAGATAAAAACGTCATGGAAACTTATAGATGGGCAAGTGTAGGCCTCACCCCAGCTCATTTCTCTGACCACAGAGGTGATGCCAGTTACTCCTGGCTCACTCATCACCAGCCACCCTCTCTAGAGGGACTAGCCTGGGTTTCTTGCTCCTCCAAGCTGGCCTCTTGCTTGCTACGAGGTGTTGCTATATCATTTCCATTCAGCCAATACTTACCCCTTGATTGTGAGCCACAGGTCCCTGCAGGGCCACCAAGGTGACCCACATGCCACGCTGGACCCACTGTGCTGCTGAGCCCTCAGGTGCTGACACAGGCTCCAGTTCCTGTCCAGAAGCCAGTTTCTAGCTCAGCTTCATAAAGTCGCAGCACAGTCACAACTCAGGTGGTCCAGCACTTTCTGTGTTGTGCTGTGGACAGTCTCAGGGGACTCTACTCTGGTTTTCCCAGTGCAGGGCAAACTCAGGCTTCCCCAAGCTTCAAAACTTCCAGGCCAGGGATCACTATCTTAAAAGCCCAGCAAGGAGGCAGCAGAGAATCCTCTTTATTATTGCAAAGCCTCATACACCTCCTTCCTCTTCAGTGGGAACATATAAGTTTCTGTCCGTGTTCTTTAATCAAAACAAAACTGAACGTCTTCAGGGGCCAGAGGCTGCTTCCCTACTATGATGCTCCTCTCTGCTCAGAATTGCAGACAGACTCCCTCTGGGGGAAGTTTTCAGTTATAGGACACCCCCTTCACATACTCCTCCTGCCCCGTGGGAGGCCTGCAGGAGCCAGGGGTTCTCTAGCAGCGGCTGTGGTGTAGCCTGGCTGCTGGACCCCTGTGCCTTTGCCATGGTGGGCATTGTCAGCTGGGGGTGATGTGGCCCCACCAAGAAGGGAGCAAAAATTGGTCTTGGCTGGGGTGTGAACAGGTCTTGCTCCATTTGTGTATTAAGTGCAGACTATTCACAGTACTATAAACATGTATACAGGATACCTGTGGCATTAAAATTTCATGGAGTAGGTCAATTAGAAAAAAAAAGTCTAAAAAGGATCCTTAGGGGGTGATTCTGAGGAAAAGGCTGAGAAACTTCACCTTACTGTGGAAGCATCTTTGATCACGGTTCTTCTATCAGCTTTAAAACTCTTAGAGGTTTTAGTAAAGGTAACAGGAGCATCCCTGTGAAAAGTGAAGTTTCAGAACAGCTTCACCTTGGTCCCCAGTCTCTCAGAAAGGCTTTTGTGAGCACCTACTATGTGCTTGAGGGCTTGGTCCTGAGGGGGTCCCAAAGATGTGGTCCCTGCCCTCAGGAGGCTCAGGCTACCTTTGACATGGGCCAGCCACAGGGCTGCGGAGGGGCACATGGTGAGACTGCATGGTGGATTGGGCCCTGGACCCAGCCCTGCACTTAGTAGGTGCTTAATCTGTGCCAGCTGCATTTCCGCATCCTGTGCTCAGGAAGTGGGGAAGGGGTTTACTTTGGTATCCGCTGTGCTAAAAACCACAAGTTGTTATTCCTCTCTCTTGAAAAGCTGGTAACTGCCAGGTTTACTATCCCTCATCAGGGAAGGGAGCACTCCATCCTTAGGTCATGGTCCCCAAGGGTAAGCCTGCTTCTGACAATAGGGTGTCAGCCCACTTGTACCGTGCCTCAGATCCATCTCGTGGCTTTCTGTGACTGCCACTGAGACAAAGAGAAAATGTTTCTGGGAAGCAGAAATGTGCATTTGAATGTCACTTTTCTGCTGTCCAGGGATTGGGGTTTAGAAAGAAACTCCAACTGTCAGATTCCAAATCAAAAACACTATCTCCCACTCCACCCTACCCCACCCAAGTTTTCTTTTCCTAGTTATTAAAAATAGCATTTCACTAAATATCAGGAAGCTACAGAGACAGGTCAGAGAGAGGAGGAGAGAATAAGGGAAATAAGCTGACAGCAGAGGTCATGTGTTTGTGACATGAGACAACTTCCCCTTTGATAGCTGTGACAACTGTTTCTGGACCACATGCACCTTCCAGAACATTCCCACCTGTTCACCGCTGTCTTCCCTGTTTGCTTTCAGATGTGTACTTCATCGCCACCTTGTCGTTCTTGTGGAAAGTCTCCGTCATCACTCTGGTCAGCTGCCTCCCCCTCTACGTCCTCAAATACTTGCGAAGAAGGTTCTCTCCCCCCAGCTACTCGAAGCTCACGTCCTAGGCTTTGCGCTTGGTGGAGGGGACCCTGGTCTCTGCACTTTCCTGATGGACAGAGTTCAAGTTCCATTCATATTAACCACCTCCCGTGGATTTTGCAGTAGTTGCTAACACGTGCAGTTTTGATGTGACAAGGCTCTGCACGCACACGGAGTCCTAACGCTGAATAAACAGGAGGGAGGTTCCTAAAAGGCACCCACGCAGGCCTGTTTCAACCCCTGGTAATTCATATTTGAGTGGATGTGAATATGTTAAAACTGGTGGCTCAGCTGAGAGATTTATGTGGGTCACTGTGCAAGCTTCCTTATGACTTGAATTTCGTTGTCATGTGATAAAAATTTCTGTCTAGTTGAAGGTCGGAGAAGGCTTGTTTTGTGTGTTTTTTCTACCACTCTTAATGCGTGTGTACTCTAAGTCTTTCTTGCTCTTAAAAAGTGGTTTCAGAAAATATAGAGCTCTTGATGTAGGTTTGGGAGGACAACACAGTGACATTTGGTAAAAATGTATCCAAAAAATCATCTCCACTTGGAAATGCTAAATATCCTCTCTAAAGTTAGCTCTCCTATTGAAGCTGCACTGGCTTTCTAGGATTATAAAAAGTAAATGAGAGGGAGAGCGAGTGCCATAAATCCAGTATTATCCTTGATCAGATTTGACATCCATGGTACTTGAGTTAATTTCACCTGCCACCTTGTGAAAGAATTTCAGAGGTGTGATCCTGCTTTGCTGGGACCTGGTATCAATTACAAAGACAGTGGCTAGCTGAGGACACCCTCCGACATTTTCAGCAGAGTTCTTTTAGCAGGAAACTTGGCACTGAATGGCCCCTAAATGTGTCGACAGTGTGATAAGAGACTCAACTAATTCTTTAGACAACATAGCAGATGTGACTCAATCCTCTGAGTCCAAGGCAGAAAGGTCAGGGAGCTGGGGCTCTTCTCTTCCACAGAAATCTGTTTCCTGTTAGGAAAAATTATTGAGGAGGGATGGACAAAGACAGGCATCTTGCCACGTGGCCATTCATTGGTGGCAGCTTTTAAAGCAAGGATCCCCAGTGACATAAGGCCCAGGCTGCACCTTAGGGATCTGGGATCTGTTCCACCACCTGCAGATTTCAAGGGGAACTTGATGAAAGGCAGCCAGTAGTAAAGATTTCTCCCCTACCAGGATGGACAACATGCATGTGTGTTTCTTATAAAGCTGTGGATTCTTGTTTCAGAGGAAGCAGGGAGTTTGCAAGCACTGGGTGTGGCAGGGGAAGGCGTTCTTGGGTTTTCAAGTCACTTCTTGCAGAAGTCACATACGCATGCCATAAGGGTTAAGTTGGTGGATCTTCAAGAACTGAGTGTGGTTGATATCTTGGATTTATGATTAATTCTTTATGATTACGTACCCTTCAGATCTTCAGCATGACACTACTGGTGTGTGCTTCAGAAATGTAAGTTTCGGAGATGTAAGATTCTGATGCCTACCAGCTTACCTTAGGGAGAGTTGGAGACTCAAGGATCAGACAGTCCCTTGTCTTTGGAGTCCTCCTGAATGCACATGTATTTTGTGTTGTCCTTTTAAGACTTTGTAGAATGACAGTAAGTTGCAAGCA